GGGGCCGTGCCCAGCCTGCGGCCCCTGCTGCGCCGCGCCTGGCCGGCCCCGCTCTTTGGCCTGCTCTTCCTGCTGTCCTCGCACCTCTTCCCGCTGGAGGCCGTGCGCGAGGACGCCTTCTACGCCCGCCCGCTGCCCGCGCGCCTCTTCTACATGATCCCCGTCTTCTTCGCCTTCCGCATGCGCTTCTACGTGGCCTGGATTGCAGCCGAGTGCGGCTGCATTGCCGCTGGCTTTGGGGCCTACCCGGTGGCCGCCAAAGCCCGGGCCGGGGGCGGCCCCACCCTCCAATGCCCACCCCCCAGCAGGTCAGGCAGCCGGGAGGCTCTCCCAGACACCCCCGGAGCCCCCACCATGGGCTGGCCCTGCCCCTAGGACAAGCGAGAGAGCGCGTGCGGGGAGCAGGGGGGCAGGCTGGCCATCTGTAGGCAAACACCACCTTCTCTTCCCAGAAGCCTAACCCCACCCGCACCCCCTTGTAGCGCTGTAGCCCCTTAGCTGCATTGCCCCTGGCCCTCGGGTCCCTTGCGACTCCCAGCGTTCCCGTGTGTGTGTCAGGACAGCGGCTCCTTTTCAGGGCCATGTGACCTCCGGGCAGCAGATTGCCTGGCACCTCTGCCTGGGCTTGAACCCGCAGCCTTACGGCTAGGCGTTTGCACACACACCGGAGACGCCACGGTGGGGAGTCTCGGGTGGTTGCAAAGGAACGGGAAGGTGGCACCTCCTCTGTTGCCATGGAAGCATCACCCCAAAACCAGGTCTTTCCTGGTCACCTGTGATGCCCTTGTGATGGGGCGCCCCCGGTTGCTAGGCAAAGGATTCCTTAGCAACCAAACTCGCCTCTGCTTGAGAGGTGGGGGACCATGCCGCTTCTTCCTGGAAGGGTTGCTTTTTGCTGCTACAAAAATGTCCGCCAGGTCAACCAAGTCCTGTGTGGAGGAAGGCCCCCCCCTTCCTGTGTACAGTACCCTCAACCCTGTGTTCCTTAGACAGTAGCTTCTCTGCCTGTCCTACCTTCTAGCAGAAGGCCCGCCATGCCAAGCCACCTCGGACCGCCTTCCTCCCGCAGCTGAGGAAGCTGAACCCCTGTTAAAGGTGGAGTGAGCCTCGTTGCTAGTGATAACTGCCTCCCTCCCCCAGCCCCTGTGTTATTGCTGTCAGGTGCCCAGTCCATTCCAGTTCACAGCGACCCCGTGTGACAGTACCACTGCCCCCATAGGGTACCTTGGGCTGTCACCTTGAAGGGAGCAGGTCCTTCTCCCGAGGAGCCGCTGGGCAAGTCCGCAACGCTGGCCGCTGGGCTGGCAGCCTAGCAGGCGAGAGCTTAACCGCTGTGCCACCATCAGAATAAAACCAAACCAAACCCATTGCTGTCGAGTTGATTCCGACTCATAGCGACCCTTTACAACAGAGAACTGCTTCATAGGGTTCCTAAGGACGTATCTTCTCCCAAGGAGCGGTTGTTGGGAAATAGGACCGCTAGGGAGGTAACGCCCCAGCTGTGTTGCTAGGAAAATGGGAACCAGGAGCAGGGCAGAAGTCTTGGAATGTAAATTATGACCTGCCCCTATGCCTTGGTACCATCCTCTTACCTGTTAGCTGTGGTTATCCAAGTCGGTTCTGACGCATAGTAACCCTATAGGTCACTGAACCACCCCATAGAATAACCAAGGCTGTAAACCGAATAGGAGCCAATAGCATCATCTTTCTCCCTTGGAGCTGCTGGTGGAATTTGAACCACCAACCTTTTGGGTAGCAGCTGAGCACTTAACCACGCCCACCGGGGCTCTTTGTACTATTCCTTTAGCAGTCAGGAGCTGCCATTCCGTTTGGTGGAGTAGTCCTACCGTAGGAACTTACTGCCACTGCCCAAGTGACCAGGGGCTGATTTCTGGTTCTCAGGAAGTCGTCCCCTCTAGAAAATGTGGACACGAAAGTGGATCCCTAACCCTGTCCAGCCCCTTCCTCATGAGCAGCCCCATTGCCAGCCACCACCCGGCTAGAGAGGACGCATCTCCAGCAGCCTGGAAAAGGCCCGTTTCCGGAGCTTTGCTGAACACCGAGGCCTTGTTGCTAAGGAATGCCCTTTCCCTAGCAACGGAGGCCATCACTACGTCACTGTCACTTCACGTAGGCCAGATCATCGCTCCCTAGCAACCGTGAATTACCTTGTTGTTAGGGGTAATACTTCCCTAGCAACCACAGTTCCAGCTAGTCTGGAACCGACCTTATTAGGAAGCTTCTCAGAACAGAGCCCCCTTGGTTGCTAAGGAAAGACTTTGCCCCTCGGTGTGTCTAAGCCCAATGGAGGGTCAGGTTGCTAAGGATGTATAGCTTAGCAACCGTAGCCTTTGAGGCTCTTGGGTGGCTGCCTAGGCCCGTTACCAAGAGGAGAACCCTACCATTGGCAATCTGGACCATCCTAGCTAGTCCAACGGCCCTCGAGCTGTTGCTGGATCAGATACCCCACCTTAGCTTCCTTCCCGGGCTGGGACAGGTGCAGGTGTCAGGGAGGGGGTCTGGCTGAGTTGCATGTTTGTCCCCCACCCTCATCCTCCACCCCCCAGTCCGGAGAAAGCGGCCGCCCTGGAGTACGACTATGAGACCATCCGCAACATCGACTGCTACGGCACAGACTTCTGCGTGCGCGTGCGGGATGGCATGCGGTACTGGAACATGACGGTGCAGTGGTGGCTGGCGCAGTATATCTACAAGAGCGCACCCGTGCGCTCCTACGTGCTGAGGTGAGCCCACCAGAGAACTACTACTCCCAGCAGACCCCGGGGCAGCCTGTGGTCTCTGACTGGGCTTCAGTCCCCGAGGCTCATGGGAGTTGTAGTTTCCAGCCTTGTAGGCCTCCGCCATGCTCAGCCCACTGAGGTAAGCCTTACCCCCACCCACGTTGTAGGTGTCAGTTTCTACTTCCGTAAGGTCAGCCTGATTCAGCAGAAGCCCTGTCCTGAAGAAATTTCAACCAGTGGCCTCAGGAGCCTTTTGAAATCTTAGCCTTGCTGGTGACTTAGAAACGTTGGAGGGGTTAGGTGACCTCTTGGGGTTCCCTCATGGCATCCCCAATTGTTCAATCGGGTTGATGCTTTTACCTGTTTCACAGAGTGGCTCTTGAGCTAAAACATGAAAAAGATACGACGAGGCCTCGCTCTATAAGGAGCCTTTAGAAAGTTCCCGAGGGAAAGAATTTGACGGATGAAACTTTCCCACAAACTTTTTGAGGCTCCCTTGTCCACACACACACACACACACACACACACACACACACACATAGAAAGGAAGAAAAAAAAAAGTTCAATCCTGGCTTTGGGCACTAAAACAATTTTTTTTTAAATAGGGGAAAAAACCCTGTCACCCTCCAAGGTAGGGGTGTGAGCACCTAGGAGGATGGCAGGGCCGTTTCCAGTGAAGGAGTGGATGGGAAAAGGTCTTGGTGATGGGTTGGATGAAGAGGAAGTTCTTGGTGGTACAAATGGTTTGCTCCCAACTGCTACCGGAAAGGCCGCCAGTTCGACACCCCCCAGGGCCGCCGTGTAAAAAGAACGAGGCCCAGTGATCTGCTTCTGTGCACATTATTGCCGTTAGGTGACGTCGACGCCGTTTCCACGGATAGCAACCCAGAACTGTCACACTCCGTCACTGGGTTTGCTCACTTGTAAATCGTTACAGAACGGAGCCCTGGTGGCGCAGTGGTTCCACACTTGGTTGCCAACCGCCAAAGGCCTTTGCTTTGACCCACGTGCCAATCGGTGGTTAGAAGATGAGGCTGTCCGCGTTTGTAACCATTCCATCCTGGGAAGCCCCCGGGGACAGCTTCACTCTGTGTTGGCGCAGAATCGACTCATTGGCAACTGGCAACAGCAGGTGGGAGGGTCCGGAGTGGGTTTCAGCTCCATCACTTATATGTGATGAGTAGGTTCATGGTTCAGGGCAGGGTTGGGCATTAGAATTGGACACATGAACGCCATCAAGGTAGGGGTGACCTGTCAATTCTAGGGCTGAAGGCCAAGTCCACGCATGCCCAAGGAGCACCAGTGTTTAGACCAAGGGCCCTCCCTGGGGACGGGGTGGATTTTTTCCTCTCGTGCTCACCCCCCCTCCGGCTCCCCCATATATCAGCGTCTGGGTGCATTTTTGATGCCACTTGTTGGGGGGGTGCTATTGACATGTGGAGCCCGGTGTTGCTATGGCTCAACATACTGCAATGAACAGGACAGGCCCTGTTATGGGTTAAATTGTGTTGTCCTCCCACCCACCCCCACCCCCGCACCCCCGCTCCTGCCCCTCCCTACCCCCTACACCTGAAAAAAGAAAAAAATCCAACCCCAAGGTTAACAGTTCGAATGTGACAGCCATGCCTCAGGAGAAAGATGAGGCTGCCTCCATTCGTAAAGATTTCCAGCCTCCGGAACTCAGGGCCAGTTCTGCTCTGTCCTGGAAGGTCCCCAGCAAGCCACCAGGGGGCAGAATCGACTCAGGGTTCCGGGTTCCTTTCTGATAGACCGGGAGTGCGTATCTTGCAACTGGGCCATGCATTGTCTTCGTGATGCTAATGAGACTGTTAATCTCGGGTTCCTCTTGAGTCTGTCTCTAGTGAGACAGGAAAGAGCAGGTCTCTCACTGAGGAGGAAGAGGAGGAGGCACAGGACAGGGTAGAACTGCCCCTGGACTCCCTCCACAATGTAAGAGCACACCCGCGTCCTCCTGGGTTTCCCATGGCTAGTCCTCCTCCCTTCCGATCGCTTCCTGCCTTCTGCGCTTTTGTCTCTGGGCAGCGGCTGCCCTTTTGATCTGGATGGCTGCTTGTGGCAGTGAGTGTGCATTTCCCATCACCAGAAGCCCTGGTTACATATTGGACTGCTGATCGCCAAGGCAGCAGTTGGAGACCACCAGCCTCTCCTCTGGAAAAAGATTGGACTCTACCCCCCTAAAGAGTTACAGTCCTGGAAATTGAAGCGGCAGTTCTACCCTGCCCTGTAGGGTCCTACAGATGGATTGGCATCGCCGCGGAGGGTGGAGGCGCCAGCCGCCAGCCTGGCATGGTGTGGAGTTCCTATTTACCTCGTAGGCCTGCCGATGGTTTGGCACAAAGTTGAGGTCTGGATTTAGGTTTGGTTGTGTTTGTTTTGTCTTGAAGACCCCTGGGTTCCGAGGAGACAGAGAGCAATGGCTCTGAGTCTTTGAGAGAAAGAGGGAAGATGGCTTCTGGGTTCTTTCCCCATCCTACCCTCCTCGCTTTTTATTGTGGACAGGGCAGATCTGTCCCCCCCCCAACAATTCATACACATTTTGTTTCAGGTCACTGACTGCAGTGCCCACAACGTACCATCCCTCATGTCACTGCTTCCTGCTTCCTGGCTCCTCCATCCCTCCACCCCACCTCCCACCTCCTCCCCTAGCCCTGCTGAACTTTGTCCCTCGGCTAAATGCTGCCCTTTGGATCTCTGACAGTTTGATGGTTCTGAGAAGTGTGGGCCTCCCTGGTGCTGATGGTTCCCTCAACTGAAAATTCATCTGACAATGGAACTGCAGTCTCCGTTCCAGAGCAGGGGGTGTCTGGATGTCTGGGTCCTTGGGAATGGACCACAGACGGAGAGCGTCTGGGGGTTCGAGGGTGAGGGCAGTAGCCTTCCTCACCCGGAGAATGGGACACAAACTTGATCCCATGCAAATGTGATGAAGGGAACCCTGGCAGGACTGGGGTGGGGCCTGGGAATTTGTATTTCTAACTGGTTGCCAAGGAACATGAAGCTAAAGCAGGGACAGCGTTGTGCTGAGCAGTTAGAAGCCCTGGTGTAGTAGTCTGGGCGGTGGGCTGCTGAGTGCAAGGTCAGCAGTTCGAAACCACCAGTCCCAAGGGAGAAAGACATTGGTTTCTGCCCCTGTGAAGCCCGCCTGGGAAACCCTGTGCTTCTGGGTCACCATGAATTGGTATTGACTCATGGCAGCAAACAGTTTTGTTTTTCCCGTGAGAACAAAGGCTGTAGGATGAAAAACATACTGATCCTCAAAGGGAAAGAAGACCCAGGGTTCTGGACACCGGCCGGCAGCCAGGGACTCCTGGGCCCCTGAAGGAGGCAGATAAGC